GCAGTTCCGAGGTACTTGAACTTCTCCACCTGCTCCACTTCCTCTCCGTTAATCTGAACAGAGCAACGGGCAGGAGAACGAGAATTATTTTATTCCGCTATAAACAAATTTATAAATTAACTGTTACTACTCATAGTGAAAGAACACCATTCATTCGTCTGTTGCGTAGGTAGTTTCATCAGAAAACCGTATAAATAGGCCAGGACTGTGTAATACGGATAAGATGAACGCTTCTTCTTTAAAGATGAGAATACCAAGTCTTTTATACAACAGATTCATCTGGTACATGATCTTCATTGTGTTATCTCACAAAAATTGTTCACAACTCTTTACTCTCGCATGCTGAGTATATGGTGGATATCAATACGACTATTACATTGCCATCATAAGCTATTAGCGTCTCGAGAACATCAAATAACTGAAGACTGTGCGAATACCCGATTTCAAGGCATATTTTACCTCTCCATTGTTCGTAGTTGCATACGGGTATAAAAGCAGGCCACAGCGCAATGGTGTTTGACACCTACAACGCCAGACGAACCTTCCATTATGTTGTTCGCCAGAGCCACCTCGAACAAATACGGAACAGCGCTTCAGGAGCGAGCATTCCCACAATGCTACCACATAAACATCATAAGCTGTTCCTACTCACGAGGATGTCTAATAATGAATAAATCCAATATAGCCAGCATAGCACGAAAGAAAAAACTCCACGAGAACGACACCGTTAGCGGGAGCAATGTCTTCACTCAGAGGGAAAGAGCAGGAGTTAGATGACAAGGCCACAAAGGACCAACTAGACATAGCTGGACTCTGGTCAATGAAGAGTCAAGGCTATGCAATACTGAATCTCTGAAGGCGGAAGTTATTCTATCCAGGTGTCCATATCACGACGCGCCCTCAGGCCCACGAGTGTGTTCTGAGACAGCTAAAATCGGATGAAAGAATCAGTTACAGAAACCCTGCTGCCGGAAGCGTGGAAATTCTCCCATTGACGCTGCAACAGGCTAAAGCGTCTACATTGCTACAGATCTACGCGCCCAATTTATAGGGAGAATATGATTCCTACCTTGAGGAAGTAGAATGTGCTGTATAAGAAACGTCGAATGTGGAGTCCAACATTCTCATAGGTGATTTTAATGCGCATGTCAGAGCAGACGCTGAAAATTGGAACGGCGTGATAGGAAAAAACGGCCCTAGCGATTTCAAAAATAATGGCATGAAGTTGTTGCAGTTTGGAGCAAACAACGGACTGTCCATTACGAACACCTTCCAGTATCGAAAAGTGCATCAGTACACCTGGTACCGGGAAGCTTGTGCACAAAAGTCGAAGATCCATTTGATAATCGTATCGTATGAATTAAGATGCTCGGTAATGGATGTTCGCGTTAAGAGAGGCGCAGAGCTATCAACCGATCATCACCTTGTTGCTGGCACGCTGCGCTGTAAGAAATGGAGCATTACACGAAGATCTGGTGGCAGAAGCAACCAGAGAATCAAAATGGGAAACATTGTCTTCGGTGGACACGAGAGCGAAATTTGCAAACAACATCGAATGACGATTTGAACAGATCCCACTGATGACAACTGATGTTGAAACCGAGTGGCAGCTCATTAAGAACGGCGTATTCGCGACTGCCGCCGAATGCTGCGGATTTAAACGGGTTGGCCATCCGCCCGGAGGTCAGAAAAGATCTTCCTGGTGAATACGAGGGGTACAACTGGCAGTGAAAGAGAAGAAAACAGCGTTCAAGAATTGGCTTGGAAACAAAGAGCCTTCTACTCGCATGCGATATGTCGAAGCACGCAAGGTTGCAGCGAAAGCAGTGGCAAATGTTAAAGCTGATTCATGGGAGAGGTTCGGCGAGGTGTTGGAGTCGACTTTCAACACGTCAAACAAGGTGCCCTTCCAAGCCATTCGTCGGCTCCGAGGTGAAAAGAAGGACAGTCTCAGAGTCTTGAAGGACAGATCTGGACACCCTCTTAACAAGGATGAGAACATTCTTCGGTGATGGATAGAGTATTCTGAGGAACTCCATAACGCCGAGCCACCGCAAGAAGACTTGCCTATACAGCACCAATGA